TTCCCTACTACGTGATTTAATACATTAATAAAATTCTAATCTAAATTCTACATAATTTTATCTCTTTGATTACTATATTATAAAAATATTGCTGATAATAATACATATATGAAAAATAACATGAACAGTGTGACCAAATGACTAGTTCCAAACTCCTGTTTTTGCAGCAAGTGAAAACATTTTGGCAAAGTCAATGTTGACTTTTAAAGATAGAAATATAATATCACATAGCTATTTATTTTCATCACACCACTTCAATTATTATCTGTCTCTGCTATATTTAGCTATACATTACAAGTCAGTAATTCTAGTGTGAATATAGAGTACAATATTTTTGGTACTGATGGAAGAGTGAGTGTGTAGAGAAAATGGTGTGAAGACCTGAATTGTATGTGTGTCCAAATATTTCTGAAAACAAATATACACACCACCCCAGTACAATTAATTCCTAAGAATAAAATCGCTGCCTTTTAACCATAAATTTATGATAATCTACAACCACAAATCCATGCGCATCGTAAATTTTGATTCTTGTCTTACATGAAAAACGTTTTTAGTAAATGTATAATATTAGATCAGCCAGTATATGTTTCCCAGGGAAATTCATCAATTTTCTTGCGCACATAGGCCAAGACAAGGCCAGGAATTCAGGTCGTCTGTTCGATTAAGTGTCTGTATTAATAAATCAGCTAGGGCAGACCCATTTCTGTGATCACGCGAGTTGCACACTAAAACCGACACTGCTTTGCTCGTGGTCAGTAGTAGATGCGATAACACAGAACATACGAGGGTGGTTTTGGCAGCATATTTTATTCGAATATGCACACTAGCAAATTTCTTATCCGCCCAGGATGAAGGGTGAACTATTTTTGTATCGCCTTTTGCATGATGATGATATCGATAAATCGAAAATTATTGTTAATATTGTATATGGTAACAAAGGACAAGCATCTTCTTAATGTCCTACATGCAGACTATGAGTAATTTCTTAAATAAATAAATAAATAAATTGCCAAGTTGGAAATTTGGGAAATAAGATGACTTATCGAAAAGTGCCATAAATCGATTGAATTAAAGTGGAAGCAAATAATGGAAGCAAATAAAGTTTGAAGTGGACAATTTAAAGATAAGCAGAATAAAGTGATTTTACTCTGGTGATAAAATAGGGAACAGATATGATATTTCTTTTTTGATTAATTAATAAATTCTAGTAAATTCGCTGACTCGGTAATACTTTTCTTTTAGTACCTGAAAAAGATGTGAAGTGATAGTGATGATACAAAAAAGTAACATTTGACTTATGTTATCAAATAAATAAATTAAAAGAAAAGAAAAAAGAAAATTGAAAAAATTAATTAAAGTGATAAATTAAATAAATTTGACTTTGTTTTTGGTTAACTTTTTAAGAACTGCAGCATTCTCTATTTTTGGACAAAATGTTTCCGTATGTGAATCATCCTCTGGAGCAAAAGGGGATGCACTTCCGGTCGTAGTAACATCTAACATACAATACGAAAAATATATACATCCTGTATCCAGTTTAAATATTTATTTCTGTTCATGTCTGAACGATCTCGTATTCTTAAAGATGGAAGAAAAATACATTTTCATTACCTAGTAATTATGTATTTTTCAATCTCTGACAGTTCCTTTTTCTATTATAGAATTATCATTTATAAATTCCTAATTTTCATACTTACCATTGTACAACAGACGTATCTTCTAAATGTTAGTAATTTCGAAAATTTTTCTTCCATTATACAAATAGCCACTCATTGCTTTTCAATTTAACCTTACTATTTTGTAACAGAAAGATATTCTATAATCCAGTAATAATATTATTTCTGTTATCAATTTGGGAAAAATTCTGTTTCTTATTATAATAAATAATAAATAGCCATAACAAATAAGGTAATTGGTATAACTAAATAATAATACTTATATTTTTATACCTATTACCAATTTTAAAACTTCCTTTTCCACATTGGACTTGTCTATCCAAAAGTAAACATTCATTTACTATCCAATAACATCATACTTTTTAACCACACTCTTCAAATTCTTCCTTATTCTCTTCTGATTGTATCATATTGTCATCTACAGATTTTCAACTTGACCAATTTCACTGTACGATACAAAAATAGCAAGTTCATAAATATCATTTGTAAAATTCGGGTGTTTATGGTTCCCCTGCTGAATAATTTACGGGGTTCCCTCTATACGGCGCGCGTGTAGCTCTACCGGAGAAGGAAAGGGCAAGTATAATATGAAGCTAGGACGAAAGATGGAGCGCGTGTACCTATTATACGAACGTATTCAGAAAGTAGGTTATGGAGGGGGGGACGACTATAAACCTGAAACGCGAGGATGTTTTACGAGTCTCATTGGCCGGAACTGCTATCAGTCTGACTGGCGATAAAACGAAGATGGCAAGTGAGGGGTGGAAGAAAGGAATCGAGGGAGAAATAATAAGCGTAGAAAAATGACGGCTAAAGGGCGCCACGAATTCGGCCTCGATATCTAAACGAATCTTCGAATCAATATACACGAAACAGCTCGTTCCTTTTCAGTTCTTTATTCGACGTTATATTCTTTTTGTCATCTGCAGATCATTACATAGTAAGTAATTTATTGCAATGTTATAACTTTCAATTGTAGGTTATAGTCTGAAAATATTTAATATCTAATTTCAGATAAGTATATTATTGAACATCTTCATTATTGATTTACCTTTTATTGCTTATACTATATGCTAATGAGTAACTTTTATAAAAATATTTATTTCCATACATTGTAAATGTTTATATAAATAAATAAATTCATACTACTCTTCTTTACGAATTACTATCTGTAAATAAATTTAATAACTATCATTTCTAAAACTGAAGTATTAAAAATAAAATTCTAAGAATAAAGATCAATCGCATGTCATTACGCACCGACACAGATACGTTATTATTTGCATTTTCTCTTTGATCTGTTTTATCGCGTTCGTTAATAACATATAAACATCGTAAATTTTGTCGAATGTAATCTAGTTTTATAGCACCGAAAATTATCCCTGACAAAACGATAGATGCATCAATGAAAGTTACACACGAATAAATAAAGATACATTCGTCATAACAGACGTTTCTAGATCACCAAGAGTATTATACACATAGCAATATAGGATTGCTAATCTAGCTCCATCTGTTGTACAGCTACTGCATCATCTTGGTTCAGTATCCGCAAAATGATTTACTCCGAAGGATATGGATATCTACCTTATCAATTGATAAGGTATATACACTACATGTTATACATATATAAGGTATAATACTACATATATTAAAATATATCCTTCTAATGCGTTCTTTGTTTCTTTCTAGGATCATAAATAAGCATTCGAACATTTTTGTTAGTAACCACATTTTAAAGCCGAATTCATAACTAACAAAGGGACATAAGCAAATATGAATGAATGGAAACGAACAGAACAAACGAAATACACACAGCCAAGGCCTAACTGTTTCTATTCATTGTTCTTTTCATTCAGCAAAGGAGTGAATGCAATTCTAACATTCTTATACTTTTTCTTATCACAGATTTAACAAATTTTTTAAAGTATTTGTATTTTTTAATTTTAATCTCTTTATCAGGATATATTTCTATGAAAATCTTACTTGAAAATCTATTCCTACTTATACACGAACAAATATAGCAGACTACCCACAAAACATCAATTTTTCTAACGTGATCTTCCAATATTCACCGCCAGATGGATTCACCATACAACATGTTTCTCGAAAGTGCTCACTTACTACCCTAATCAATATCAATATTATCTTAAACTGCACCTTTAGTATGTCAGTACTTAAAGTAATGTATCTTATATGATAATATTATCAATGTAATATCATCTTTCTATCACCTAGTGTATAAAATATGTGAACAAAAATTACACATAAAATTTTTAAATTATTCACAATGAAGAATGTGTTACTGCAGATATAAGACTCTACTCTATCTGACAAAGTGATCACGTTTTATTGGATGTGAATAGTACAAATTTTGAAAGATTTATGAGTGTAATACCATTACAGCGCCGCATTTAACAAACTCTATAAAGGAGGAATATCTACCA